CTAATTGTATTCACATTCACTCCACTCCTAGTCTAACGACTCTGCGCAAGCCTCCCACTCCCACACGGTGCTCATTAACGACGCTGCAATTAAGCAGAAACTCAGTGTTGGCTACTAATTCAAGATCTCCCCTGAGACTGCCAGCCTGTTCTCGGCCATGGTCTTCAATGACATGGAGTTATCAATTGGACAGCGGCACGATTTGGCCGAGATCCATAGCCGCTTGCGGCAGGTAAAGCAATCCTTTGAAGACACCGCCAGAGTCTTGCCATTCCGCAGGAATATACATAACGTGGTCTACGACATGGATATCTTTGTCAATCTAAGAACGAAATGATGCAAGGCAATTAACAGAAACTATCACTAATAGACAGATTAGACATTTAGGATTTTTGTTGTCTTTGCAAGTAGAACGATTGACGAGACCTAAATTATATTAGACATAATATATAATTGTACATTATAAATTATAAATTCGAAAATGTCTCATCAATAAGTGCTTGAGGGTGAATGAGAACTGGAAGCCAAGTCCATCAAAATTTGGCGACTTCTTTTCGACGACCACAGCACGATTGCTATACACGTCAAAGTCATCGGGCATGGTGGATCCACAGAGTGTTTGCCCCAGTTTCTCGCTTGCATCTGGCATAACCTTCTAGAACTTAATATTATCCAGTTTACAATTGGTCTCCGAACCCATGTTGAAGTCCGTGAAGGCGATCCTCAGGATCTGTACATAGAATGCTGGACAGCTCTTTAAATATCGCTGTTCAATTGGATATTTCAAATATACAAACATATATTTTCATACGGGATAGCTAAAAAAAAAAAACACCCAAAAGTGTTCGTGCCGTAAGACATTAAACCTATTCAATTGCACCTTACATATCTGTAAGTGTAAGGCATATTATATATCAGATCAAACATCAGATTCATTCACCTGCCGCGTACCCTCATTGTAATAACCCACGCACTTGGGGCACTTCTTCAGAAACTCTGGAGGACAAAGGGAACTGCGGGAGGCGAAATAGCAGCGCACGCTTCTCAGAATATCGGGCAATGCCTCCGAGACTTCTTTGTGGTCCAAGCTCGCATGGTGTTTCAGTGTTTGTCGAATGATCTGATAGAGCACCGATTGCGTGGGTAGGTGGTACTTCAGCCAAAACTCCTTTTTGGTGCTTTCCACAAAGGTCTGCGTCATTCGGAGCATCAGCTTGTACATGTTTGGCTTCCAGTGCTCGGCCATACTGGTGATTAGATCCTCGAAGCTCTCAGCGCTTGAGATGTTAGCAATGATAACTTCTCCGTAGTCGGCCAATTGGATGTCCTGACCATTAATGTTGATTGAACGGAACTGCAGTAGATTTGGTGGCACCTTAGTAGGTTCATCGGGTAGTTTCGGTTCAACCGAAATGCGGCCACCAACTCCACTAGTTTTCAATAGTTCTTTGAGCTCCTTTTTTGTGGGTAGCCCATTGACGCTGCGTAGGAGGTCCAGCCTGCCTTGAGTGGACGACTCCATGGCCTTGGCTTCTTCGAAGATCTTCTTAAAGATGTTCCTGCAAAAACAAAGTCATTAGTCTGGCAGGCCTTCATGGATAGTACCTTACTGTACGTAGCTGTTTAGGATTGTGCGATAAGTGGCTTTGTTGACCATTTCAGACGCCAGGCGAAAGTTATTGACACAAGTTATTGAGCACAAATAGAACGTTTCTCATACATATACCAGAGATTAAGTGTATCATACAATGCCTACCAAAAGCAGGTATAGCACTTTGTCGCTCGCTCTTAAATGTTCTAGAGCTTGATTCCGAGTAAAGCCGATGCACTCCAGGAAATTCCAAGGCTGCCTTCAGACCTTCAGACGTTATGAAGCACGCATTGCGTGTGTACATTTTCTCCGTTATCAAATAAGTTTTTAGCTCAACCTGCCCATCGATCAGCTTGTAGACTCCTCGATCCCAGGTTACCATAACCCCTGGGGGAAGAGCTGTGCGCTTTAAGTATGTATCCCAGTCCTCAAAGAGCCCGCTTTGATCCACATACATCACGCAACAGTCTGGGCTGCTGCTCATCCCTCCATCCGTGTCGGCTGAAAGTAGTATAGTGATAGGCATATGCAATTGGATCAATTTGAAACTACTTTAATGTACGACATTACCAACGCAGCGACGGCAGCGGAAAACTGGGTGGATCGACCAGGATCTGCTATTCTCTGCCTCCTTCAAGTCGGTCACTCCATTCACAATAACCGCAAAGAACAACGCAGAAAGGGACTGGCCGTTGACGTATTTACCTAAAGTTTTGTATGTACGTCTGGATTAGTGACGGAGCTGCTGTTTCGCGGAGTCTGCTTACGTAGAGTCCAAACGTTGTCCAGAATTATTTATGTCTCTGATTAAATATTTCTCGAACTTTCCTTTTCAGAATGTCTCGTTGATTCTGCAGCAATCTGTCAGGTCAGGGATTGGCCATCTATAGATTTCAAGTGAGGGACAAAGGATTTTTGGGCGGGCACTCACAGATCCCAGGTGATGTCCTCGCCATGGCTGAGAATCTCTGCAAATACCTGCTGCACTTCTCGGGTTGTGAGATTCGGTGGTTCAGCCATATTGTTTAATATTTTACATTTTAATGCACTTTAGAATCGCCTCAGCGATATTTGTATGTATCGATATATCGATATATGAACTGCAATATATTTTCGAACAGTACCTACACCTTTTACGCCCATTCTTTTTCGTTTTCAAACCAGAACTGTGCGGACGCGAGCAGCGCAAGAATATTGATCGAGGTAAAATTGCACTTTAAACATAAATTCGATCACAGGAGCTAATCTTACTACTTTTATATTTTTCTTTCTCTAAGCTTTCGTAATTTGGCGTAAGAAACACAAGGAACCGATGGAACCCAAGCGCGAACGGAAGCGGCTGTACCGCGGCTTGGACAATCATGAGCGCAATCTGTCCTCCTCGTCCTCGTCGCCGGCGTCGGTAGCTAGGCAGGACAGTGCCATAACCATCACAAGTTCATCACAGTCCAGTGGGACCACCCAAATGGTCGTCTCGCCCGACGATCCCCGCCCGACGCCCAGTGCAGTGGCGGCAGATGTACGGAATTGGGTGTATTTACCTAGTTATTATCACTCTGATGATTTTACAAGCTCTGATATGAGCCTTAACGCTCACTTGCCATGAGCCGACGGATTGTATGTCGGTTATGGGTCCGCAGCTCTCTGCCATTAGGATTTATTCTTTCGGTACCTATATATAGACCGTCCCTGATGTCCGCCCATTAAATAATAATAATATAAACCCACTAATAATTATGTAATTAGATTTCAACATCTAAATAAAAACATATCTAGATTCTGGAGCTTTCAATTTCTGCTTATCAGACTAAATCGGAGCACCCAGACACTGTGTGGGAGAGAGAGAGTGCAATATGTTTACGAGTGCGTGTGTGTGGTTGCCGGGCCCGAAAGAAAAGGAGAAATAGACAGAAGAAAACAAGGAAAGGCAACGCGGAATGGAAAAATAACACTGCTCGACAAAATCAAAACCAACTTGTTTGAAGAATTTTTAAATGGGTATTCTTTTGTAACGGTAGCTCTTTATTTTAGAGGTGGCGCTTCTATTTTTATCATAACTGGATCGAAGCGGAAAAATCTTGTCGAGTAGTGTAATTATTAGTACTCATTAAATGGCTGCGGAAGTCATTGCGCATTGCCCCTTTTGGTAAATATACATACATCCTCATGTATGTACTGAACTTCCAGTTCTTTCTCCCTTTTGTTGTTTTCGTTGCTTATTATTTTATTAGGGATGGGCGGCACTGAAATGGAAGTATCGCTTCACATTTATACAGAAATTAAATCCAATCAAAGCACTGTTTGAATACGCATAATATTCTAATTAAAATTGTTCACTCGCGGGGTAAAAAGCAATAGTATTTTAGCATAATTTAACGGCATACAAATGGACAATTATATCTGATGCTACCTGTTGATGGCTATCGATATTTTATAAGTTTATGAAAGATACCATTGAACTGTGAGCCGTTTCGAAGATACTAAATTGATTATACATGATTTATTGTACTTACTTTGACATCTACTTCTCTAGAAGTAACGTTTGTAGACTCGGAGCTGGCATAGTTGCTGCAACGCGTGGTGAGAGGGTGTGGATGTGCTATCGAACTAAGTCATGCGTCGCCGAACACGGCCGAAGAAATATATGTCCTACAAACTGTCTGGAACGAATTGAAGATCTCACTCCACATGAAGCCTGTGACAAATTTCTACACGAAGTCCTACCTATTGTGAACACATATAAATTGCCAACAAAGGTCAAAAAGCGCCTGAGGCTGCTGGATCTGCATCCGTGCTTTCGTCTCATCGAGCAGGGCTATCAGTACGTGCCCAATGCCGAACTCTCCACGTGCTTCGTGCTGAAGGCGAATCGGGACTTTCGCCTGGCGAGCGCGTTACCAACGGTAAATAGAGGGCCCAAGGCACAACTATTACAACAAATTCTAATTGTACTCACATTCTGAGGTGAGGATCAGATTGCTGAGACGCGTTCGGAGGGTGAGGGTGTGCCACGAGTAATTGCTGCGACGTTAATTCGTCTTTGAGTCACAACCGATGATTTTCAAGATCTCCCCTGAGACTGCCAGCCTGTTCTCGGCCATGGTCTTCAATGACATGGAGTTATCAATTGGACAGCGGCACGATTTGGCCGAGATCCATCGCCGCTTGCGGCAGGTAAAGCAATCCTTTGAAGACACCGCCAGAGTCTTGCCATTCCGCAGGAATATACATAACGTGGTCTACGACATGGATATCTTTGTCAATCTAAGAACGAAATGATGCAAGGAAATTAACAGAAACTATCACTAATAGACAGATTAGACATTTAGGATTTTTGTTGTCTTTGCAAGTAGAACGATTGACGAGACCTAAATTATATTAGACATAATATATAATTGTACATTATAAATTATAAATTCGAAAATGTCTCATCAATAAGTGCTTGAGGGTGAATGAGAACTGGAAGCCAAGTCCATCAAAATTTGGCGACTTCTTTTCAACGACCACAGCACGATTGCTATACACGTCAAAGTCATCGGGCATGGTGGATCCACAGAGTGTTTGCCCCAGTTTCTCGCTTGCATCTGGCATAACCTTCTAGAACTTAATATTATCCAGTTTACAATTGGTCTCCAACCCCATGTTAAAGTCCGTGAAGGCGATCCTCAGGATCTGTACATATAATGCTGGACAGCTCTTTAAATATCGCTGTTCAATTGGATATTTCAAATATACAAACATATATTTACATACAGGATAGCTAATAAAAAAAAAAAACACCCAAAAGTGTTCGTGCCGTAAGATAAATANGTCTACCGACTCTGCGCAGGCCTCCCACTCCCACACGGTGCTCATTAATGACGCTGCAATTAAGCAGAAACTCAGTGTTGGCTACTAATTCAAGATCTCCCCTGAGACTGCCAGCCTGTTCTCGGCCATGGTCTTCAATGACATGGAGTTATCAATTGGACAGCGGCACGATTTGGCCGAGATCCATCGCCGCTTGCGGCAGGTAAAGCAATCCTTTGAAGACACCGCCAGAGTCTTGCCATTCCGCAGGAATATACATAACGTGGTCTACGACATGGATATCTTTGTCAATCTAAGAACGAAATGATGCAAGGAAATTAACAGAAACTATCACTAATAGACAGATTAGACATTTAGGATTTTTGTTGTCTTTGCAAGTAGAACGATTGACGAGACCTAAATTATATTAGACATAATATATAATTGTACATTATAAATTATAAATTCGAAAATGTCTCATCAATAAGTGCTTGAGGGTGAATGAGAACTGGAAGCCAAGTCCATCAAAATTTGGCGACTTCTTTTCGACGACCACAGCACGATTGCTATACACGTCAAAGTCATCGGGCATGGTGGATCCACAGAGTGTTTGCCCCAGTTTCTCGCTTGCATCTGGCATAACCTTCTAGAACTTAATATTATCCAGTTTACAATTGGTCTCCGAACCCATGTTGAAGTCCGTGAAGGCGATCCTCAGGATCTGTACATAGAATGCTGGACAGCTCTTTAAATATCGCTGTTCAATTGGATATTTCAAATATACAAACATATATTTTCATACGGGATAGCTAATAAAAAAAAAACACCCAAAAGTGTTCGTGCCGTAAGACATATAAACCATTTCAATTGCTTCGCATGGTAAGTGTAAGGCATATTATATATCAGATCAAACATCAGATTCATTCACCTGCCGTGTACCCTCATTGTAGTAACCCACGCACTTGGGGCACTTCTTCAGAAACTCTGGTGGACAAAGGGGACTGCGGGAGGCGAAATAGCAGCGCACGCTTCTCAGAATATCGGGCAATGCCTCCGAGATTTCTTTGTGGTCCAAGCTCGCATGGTGTTTCAGTGTTTGTCGAATGATCTGATAGAGCACCGATTGCGTGGGTAGGTGGTACTTCAGCCAAAACTCCATTTCGGTGCTTCCACAAAGGTCTGCGTCATTCGGAGCATCAGCTTGTACATGTTTGGCTTCCAGTGCTCGGCCATACTGGTGATTAGATCCTCGAAGCTCTCAGCGCTTGAGATGTTAGCAATGATAACTTCTCCCTAGTCGGCCAATTGGATGTCCTGACCATTAATGTTGATTGAACGGATCTGCAGCAGATTTGGTGGCACCTTAGTAGGTTCAACGGGTAGTTTCGGATCACCCGAAATGCGGCCACCAACTCCACTAGTTTTCAATAGTTTTTTGAGCTCCTTTTCTGTGGGTAGCCCATTGACGCTGCGTAGGAGGTCCAGCTTGCCTTGAGTGGACGACTCCATGGCCTTGGCTTCTTCGAAGATCTTCTTAAAGGTGTTCCTGCAAAAACAAAGTCATTAGTCTGGCAGGTCTTCATGGATAGTACCTTACTGTACGTAGCTGCTTAGGCTTGTGCGATAAGTGGCTTTGTTGACCATTTCAGACGCCAGGCGAAAGTTATTGACGCTGTGCGTAAACAGAACCAACGACTCGGAGAGCAGGCATGCACTTAGAGTATCGACCTTCCCCCCATCAACACGCCTCTGAGGGAGCACAAATAGAACGTTTCTCATACATATACCAGATATTAAGTGTATCATAAAATGCCTACCAAAAGCAGATATAGCACTTTGTCGCTCGCTCTTATATGTTCTACTTCATTTACTTGCAATATATATCTAGATCTTGATTCCGAGTAAAGCCGATGCACTCCAGGAAATTCCAAGGCTGCCTTCAGACCTTCAAACGATATGAAGCACGCATTGCGTGTGTTAATTGTCTCCGTTATCAAATGAGGTTTTTAAAGGGTATTGTCAGATATTTATATGATTTATAATACTCACATGTACATATAGACAAACGGTCGAAGAACCTCCTGGTTTCTTTCCTGCAGAAATGGGTTTACTCAATGTTGTCGGCGCTCATTTCGTTGATTGTCCTCCTCCACCGGTAATGATAGAGCCGCCAATCCCACTAAAAGTAATCTCCTGCATGGATCCATTTAGCTTTCATTTTATTAAATTTTCACGCATTTTCAAAACTAGCTAGTAATATCAAATAGAAGATCAAAGTCGAGGAATAGTGCTTCTATATGTAAGTGTGAACGTTTATTATTTTTGGTATATTTCTGTGGGATTTCTGTGCTCGATATCGAACCGCAAAAATGAGGAGAGGAGATAATCTTGCTCTATCGCTCTCTGCTGACCTAATCC